AGCCGAAGAGGAAGAAGCCGTGGGAGAAGGATGGGGCGTGATGGCCCCCGCTCGTTTCAAATATAGATTCCAGTATCGGGTGACAAGTAGAAGTCATGGCGCCGTCGTTGTCAAAAGGGAGATGGAGACGTTCCATGTATGTCCTCACCGCTTGCTTGGTTATCGGATGGTAGTTCAACATGATGAAGTTTCGCAACCGCTCTAGGCAAGTGTCCAGATACTTGCCCAGAGCGGTTGCGAAACTTGATCATGTCAACCCAATGTGCCCATACAATATCCTACACAGAACTACCATCCGATGGCCCAGCAAGCGGTGTGTAAATTCGAATCGCCAATCCGATATAGGTGCGTGCAGAAGAGGCATACATGGAATGGTTCCAGGATGCGTTTAGCGCTGTAGATACCGATAACAGCGACAACGTTCCCCCTTGCCCTGCACTGTACGTATTGCAACATCGAGTACCAAGTAGAAAGTGTGGCTTCGTCGTTACAAAGGCAGGTAGATACATTCCATGTATGCCTCTTCCCTTTGTGGCTTATGCTGTCCAATTCGCCAATATACAAAGCTAAGTATAGCGAGAACTTGGATAGCAAAAGACACAAAGGGAAGAGGCATATATAGAATGGTTATAGCTACTAAGTATTAAGAGACGATACACATGCAGACAGTACTTCATGCGCACTCAAGAGGAACATGTGATCAAGATACAACGATACTATGCATATAATCCAAAGCCAACCTACACGCTATGCTACCTACATCCAAGATTTTCCCCTCCATATATCGATCCACACACCCTTCCCCTACCATCCCCACTCTCAACCCAATCACATCCAACCCATCCCAATCCCAAGAGTAAGAATACCAAACAGCAAATTGGGGTATATAGCAGATCCAACCTCCCAACCTTTCCCAACCTAACCATTCCATATACGCCCAATATACACAAACATTAAATGAGAACATCAACCCGCCCTATATTTTGCCGACACGAATGAAAGGACTTCCTTCTCCTACAACACAGCCTCAAGAATGCGATCCTTGAGGGTCTTAACCTCCTCTTCCCTCTCCCATAACCGCCGCTGCATGTCTAGGAACTTGGTTTTCCAGGCCGCGGGCGTCATTTGACTTGCCCCAGGACCATCCCTGTCTAATGACGCATCGCCATCTCCTCTTCGTTCTCCACTTCCGTCTTCACTGTTGTCATTTCGTATTTCCAAACCCTTGGCAACCCATTCACCGGTTAACCCACCAAAGTTCACAGCGAAGAAGACGTCAAAAGTTTCTTTTATGCGACTACCTGAGTTGCCAGGGTGCGACCGTAGATTATCTCCAGTGGTATCACCATCGTCTTCGTCGTCGTCGATGGGACTTTCATAGCCATCACCTCCAATACGGAAGCGTATGCACTCGACGCGACGGACGCCGCCTGTAGGGCCGCCGATGCCGATGCCGACTGCGCTTGTGAGACCCAGACAGCTGCTTATTGCTATGCCAAGGGCTTGGTCGGACATGACCTTGGCGGGGGAAGAAGGAAGTCCGGATGTTGGTTTTGAGTAGAGTGGTTGGAGGATAGCAGTGGCCAGGGTCTTTGCTTCGTTGCCTCTTAAGCGCTTCCGACGCCCGGTTAGCGGGGCACGGATTAGTTCGGCGGCTAAGGCGCGGTTGAGTGTTTCGAGAGGGATTGAAGGGAGAGACGGGGAGGTGGTGGAAAGGTCTGGCGAGGTTTGCGAGCGGATTGGGGGAGGTGGTCGATGCTGGGCGGGTGTTTCGGACGGCGTGAGCGCGCCGTGGTAGGTCTGGTGTGTTGGCCTGTTGTCTTGTTTTTGGTACATGCTTTGTTGCTCGTAGCCATGTGCGGGCGACACCTGCGTTGAGGCGGCGCTTATCGGGGAAGGCCCTAAGCCCGTGCCTGGGGAGTCGTTTTGTTCTCCGTTGACGAGGACTGTTGGTGTGACTAATCGCACTACTGGGTTGCCGACATTTGGAGGGACCTGGAGACTCAGTCGCTGCTTCTGTGGCGCACCACCCATGAGTTGGCCTTCCATCTTGGAAGGCGATATGGCAGATGCTGGTGTTGGCGGAAAGCGGAAGGAGTTCTCGGGTGCTGGAGGGTCAGAGTGCGCCCGCTCAACTATCGGTGTCAGATTGCCTGGAGTGCGGTCGATTGGTGGGCCTTCTTTGGTCTTCGGATTGGCTGGAAACGTGTTGTACGGTCCATCTCGAAATGATCGATTGCTCGGCGGCCGGCCACGAAGCTTGCCGGTAGACGAGGTGTTGTTGGTCGACCATGCCGACGATACAGCGGGGCCGTGACGCCGGCGAGAGCGTGATCTCGCACTGGAAGGCGTGACAGCAGACTGGGGCTCATCGAAGAAGGGGTATGCGGATTGTGGTGTTACCGCGGAAAGTGGATGAGGGGTTTGAGGCGTGTCGTGAGGATTCAATCGCCATCGTATGTGTTGTCCAGACATTGGCGAATCGGTATATGGTGTCAGGCTTTGGCCTAAACGACTTGGTGCTGAAGCTGCTGTTAAAGCCGAAGAGGGTGTGACGGTTGAGACTGCAGTCCACGCTTCTTGAGGTGTGAGGAAGCCTCCGTGCATGTTGTGAGGATGGGCGCTAGTGGGGTACGCTGATTGGGGCTGCAGCACGTTGCCAAACGGTATTGACGTATCCAACTGCGGGCGCTTACGAGCCGGTGTGCCTTCGTCAAAGTCGATGTCGTCCTCTCCGTCATCAGCTTTCCGCCGCCCGCGTTTCGGTTTGAACTTGGGATCGAGAGCGCGGATCGCCAGATCTTCCTCCAAAGGCACGCCATCCCGCCCGTCAGCCGGAAAGGGGTTGTGGGGAGGAGGTATTTGCAGGAAGTAGGGATGCTGCTTGCCCAGCAGATACTCGAAGAAGGCGTCGATGTGCATGGCGCGCATCCATCGCTGTGATGATTAGCAAAGGTCGAATTGATGTATGAAATGACAAGTGATTGGGGGCCAGGTCGGAATGCGCTGCCCCTCTGACCTGCAGAGGCCCCATCTTCGATCAACTCGTGAGCAACAGTACATCGCAGATATCTCACATAGTGAGTGGCTCGGTTCGCACACTGCGCCGGATACCAAGTAGGTGGTTCGGATCACAATGAGGCGTTTGAGGCTGAAGTCGACTGCGCCGCACGACCCGGATGACATGCATGAGACGTTGTTGGAGCCCACAGGGCCAGAACTCGGAAAAGTGTAGAAAATGACTCGGCGATTGCCGGATATAAGAATGCGAGTGAATTGAAGAGGTCTTACCTTTAGTCTGACTGAGTACTGCTGCACCTTCTGCGTGCTCTGTCCCTCGTCTGTGTTTGGCGGCTTGACGCCCAGATCCAGCGCCAGTTGTGTCCATGTCTTGATTTCTTTGGCGTCCAGCTTGCGTATCAGCTCGAAGAGGGTCCATGTGTTGAATGCGTTGCCGTCGCTCTTGGGCGGCGTCCGGAACAGCTTGACGAGTTCGCTCGTGTCGATGGTGGTGGGGAAGTTGGGGTTGCAGTAGAGGATAAAGGTCGCGTAGGCGTCGTCGATGGTGTCGTCGGCTACATTGCGCGATGGCGTGTCGCGGTCGGCGGGCTCGTAGTGGGCAGATGGCTGGCGCGGCTGGCTGGTGGGCGATATGGCAGCGAAGCGCGGCGAGGCATGCGCAGACGCCGGGGGAGTCTGCGAGCTGCGCATGTCGGCGTAGAAGCCGTGGGCGAGGTTATGGGCATTGTCTGGCTGAAGTAGGTGACTGGACTGGGGAATGGGCGTGTGCACATTGCGGCTGGCACCTGTGCTCTGCTCCAGTCCCGGATCAATCGCTGCTACACCACCGCCGCCTGGATGCCGGAAGGGCGAGTAGGCCGGCCCGCTGCCAGGCCCCGCGTGTTCGTAGTGCTGGTGGGCGTTGGCTGTCAGGTGCAGGCTGTGCTCCGTCTCTCCCTCGTCGCCAAAGTCGACCTGCATGGTTCTCCACAGTGTAACGCGCTCTGCTGCTTCCTCGGCCCGTCAGCATGCCATGAGGGCGTCGAGATGATTCGCGGCCGCGCTAATGCCAATAGCAGGCCATGGATATAGAGCCAGTCCCGAGGTTTGCTTCTTCTGGCCCCAAAGGAGTCTTCACGCAGCGCCTGCTGTCGCAGCGGAGCCGGCGAGTGCAGCGCGAAGAGGGCCAACGATAGGATGCGATGCGCCCAGCGCCGTCGCTCGGTCAGGGCAGTCGCGAGAGGGCGATTACGTCGTTTGCCGTTGCAGCGCGCTATGGAGTCGCGTCGTCGAGGGTCCAGCGGGTGGTAATTTGCGGTCGTTCAGGTGCTATGGCGGGTCGTGCCTGCCTGCTTCGGGGCATTTTGGTCAGTTATGCCAGCTGAGCGGTACCCCAGCATCGTCCGTCTATTTTTGGATCAGCCGACGCACCACTGCTCACCACACCCATGTCGCTGCACCATCCGAACCCCTACCACCGCTGCTCTGCACCCTGACTGGCTGCCTATTTACGCTCTACACTGAATATGCGACAATGCCTATCGAGTGGCAATCATCCCAAGCCCTTTTGGTCGTACCTGCCACTGTAACTGGTGTGCCCCGGCCGAACCTCGCTCTTGGATTATTGCCACTACACCGACTACGACCTTTCTGGGGCGAACACTCGTGTCGCGCCGCGTGGAGTCTAAGACGGTATCATGGTGCGAACAGTCACCGTTTTCAGCCACTCTGTATCTCTCACGATGTTCTGCACCCTGCCTGCTTTGTCGTCGAATGTGACGTACCTCTTGGGTCGAAGGATGCAGTCAGGTATTCTTCGACTCAGTGAATTGAAGGCAGCAAGCAGGTCTGTGAAACCAGGACTATGACCATTTCATCAGTGACTCCTGCGCACTGCGCGTCGACACCGCTGGCTACGCTTATCAAGTCCCTTCAGTCTCACTATCAACTTCTACCCACACGAGATAGTCTCGACTCAACTCCACGCAGCTTTCGCCAAGATGAGTTTCTCCGCCCTTCCAACAGAGCTGCTCAGCATGATCTTTGATGAGATCCGACGAAAAGAGGATATGCAAGCCATTTCTCTCGTTTGCCACAAATGGCGCGTTAATCTTGCGCCACTGATGTGGTACACGTTGAACACCGATCTTCTGCTAAGCAAATCTCAGTCCATGGAAGCACTTGTTAATTCTCAGAGCTTGATACTCCCTCATATCCGACGGATTATCATAGCAACACCCCGACGAGTCGCGGGCGATTCGTTTGAAATGAACCAAATCGAGCACAAATTACGTCTACTGTTAACGTCCCTACCTCACGATCGCATCACGCACTTCATGGCCACCACGTTGAGACCCAGCCGTCATACCATCCATATGCTCCTCAAATCCCAGCGGAAGCTCAAAGAATTGAACTTCCGCATCAGGCCCGACGAGGCCTTCACGGGCAAGGGGCCACTTCCTCTCCACACAGCTGGTCCTTTGATGGAGCCTCCCCTGAAAGACCTCACTGGACTAGCTGTATATGTTCATTGCCATCCGAAGGTTGCGAAAAACTCTTTTGAGTACTACCGCAAACTTCTCACATACGTTCCAAAGCTGCAGACCCTGTCCATAGTGGGCACGCTCTTTGACGATCGTCCACTCGACCGGTTGTACATGCAACACGTCCTACAGCATGACATAAAAGAGCCGATTCTGACTAGTCTCACTACCCTCCGTTTGAAGCTTATCGACCTTGGAATGAGCCACAAGGCGATTTTCAGGAACATGAACTTTGCTAACCTTCGCACATTGTCACTGATTGGCTGCAATGACATGGCGCCCTTCTTAGATAACCTCCTGGTACAACGCGCCAACAGTGACGGCAGTTATCTTTCCCATCTTTACGATCTGGAGATCTTCTTCCCTTCTAATTCACTTCATCCCGACAACGACATTCAGGCTGTCCAACGCTTCCTCGAGACTGGTCCTAAACTTGACAAGCTCATCTTGGACGCATCGCGCCATGCCTTGATAAACAAAGACGCTATCATCGCTCAGTCTAAGCTTAAGTCACTGGAACTGGGTACCGGTGAGGAGAGGGGAGGGCGCTCATTTGCCGTGGAAGACGTCAAAGCGATTCTAAACGCTTGCACAGAGCTCGCAGACGTCGCCATTAATTTCCCTGCCGTAAATCTATGATCCCTTATCGATCTAGCCCACGACTTCAAATTAGGAAGACCCCAGAACTGTCTCACATATGTAGAGACTGAGTTCGAAGCCATGCTTGTAAGTCCCAGAGCCTACTTACTCCCCACCACTAGACCACCAGCTAATAACCTATTCAGACCGTACTCGCCCAGCACACCTCACTTCACACCCTCCGCATATTGTACCTCGCAAATTTCGGCGAAATCGAAATAGCACACAAGTCCGATTCGCTCAGCGCCTCAGAACACCGATTAGCCCGCGTCTTGTACCAGAATTTCGCAACGGAGATAATGCGCTTCATGGCGGAATGCGGTACCGCACCCTTATTCTTCGAAACTCGGCCGAGTATCACGTACCAGCTCTTCAATGAGTGTCTGTGGCCTGCTTGTCTGTTCAATAAAGGGTATGTTTGTGATGCGAGAGGGAAGAGGGAGGTGATGGCCGTGCATGTGGATCGATATCCGCAGGATGATAAAGAGTCGCTTGTGATGCGTATGGCGGGGTCGAGTATCTGATGGGTTAATATAGTGAGCGGTAGATATTGGGGACGATGAGTACGCGTTTAATATGGGAGCTGGGTATGTAGGTAGCTGAGGGTATTGCGGAAGGAGCGAGCAAACCTTTGGATGTTCAGCGACACCAAGTTGCCGCCGCTTCACGTAACAGCATTTGACGCACATATACGCATGATCCAACACAGCCATCATGATTATGCGATGCTACTCACATTAAACTCTATAAGTTGTGCATTCAATGATGTCGCTCTTGCCTTGCATCGTGCTAGAGCCTTGGCGCTTTGACCTCACTACCTAGGTACCTGGTCCATCCGACGACACGCTTTCGACCTCAATTCTACTTTGCTCTTCCATCTCATCATCTCGTAGTAATTGGTTTCGCGATCACAGCCCCCTCACGAAATCTGCCTACAGTCCAGAAATATTCGACGATAAAACTATCCCCCTGCTTGCATCCCGGGGTTGGTGGGGCAACACATTGACGCGTCGTCGCACGAGCCATGTTCATGCTGAGCCGTCCACCCGCGACGCGCAAACTTCCCCCTTCCACTACTTAGGATCGCGACAATCCGCGCTCACGATCCCACACCACTATGGCCAGCGCGACGTTCTCCGATCTGCCAACCGAGCTGGTTGTCAATGTTTTCGCTTTCGTAAGTTCCGAGCATTGCCGCTCTGCAAGCCAGAAAGCGCTAATACATCTGTTAGATCCGGCAAAAGAAAGATCAAGGGGTTGTATGTCTCGTCAGCCGCTCATGGCGGGAGCTGATGGCCCCTATCTTGTGGGAAAAGCTTGAATTCAGCTTGGGTGATCACCAAGGCTCTTCCCCTGGCCGCTCTTTGACGACGTTATTAGATCCTAACTCTGGGATCCTCCCACATGTACGGAATCTATGCTTTGCGGACTTTACGGATGAGGATGCGGAGAACCGTCTCGAGTCGTTGATCTTGGCACTTCCACGCGATAAACTCCGCATTTTCCAGGCCTATGGCGGCGACATGGAGCATGAGGTTTTCTTGCAATTGTTGCGATCGCAGACCAAGCTCGAGAAAATCTATGCAGTAACTCCATCTCTCTGCCTTGGCTCGACGCGTGCCACACATATTGTTTCCCAGGAATCCCGCGCGAGGGTTGCATCGCTGACGCCTGAACTGGAGGAGATTACTCTCATTCTAGAGTGCACGAGGGAAGACAAGGTCGACGAAGTCTACCGGGATCTGCAGAGCTTTATCGACCTCTACCCGAGTCTCGAAAGGCTGGAATTGTCAGGCGAACATGAAGATCCGATCTCATTACAAGGACTGCTCTGGCTATCGCCGGAAAGTCGCCTATTCTCCAATCTAACGTCTATCAAAATGGAGGCAATGAGCTTGGTACCGGATGCTTCAAATCAGTTCTCCCACAACTTCGACGTTGCAAGGTTAGAGAAGTTGCAACTCAAGGACTGCAGCTCGATGTCGCTGTTCTTCGAGAGTCTCTCAGAATCGTACATTGAGACACCCGGTAAATTAAGGGAGTTGTGCATCGATCTACCTGGTCCTGATCCCTACCATGACGATGGTGAACACGATGTACAGGTCAAGACCACAGAATCCATTGAAAAATTTCTCAAAGTCTGCCCTAGACTTGAGAATCTCGACTTAAATCTTCGCAATGGCAAACTTGTCGACAAAAGTTGTCTTCTGCCTCACGCTGAAACGCTCCGTAACCTCGTCATCAAAAAATCCCGAAACGAAAGTACGGATTCTCAGTCGCACTACTACTCGGAAGACGAAGTAGGGGTAATTTTGAGGGCGTGCACAAAGCTCAGAGGACTGGCCATCAATCTGCCACCTAGCGATCGCGGATATATCACACAGGTCGGGGACGGATTTCAATTCAACGCAAATGAGTAGGATTGTGCCTCTTTCAAAGATGTACTAGTAAGTAATGTTCTTTTTGTATTGGTATCTTTATTGATTGGCATCGTAGGCACAATGTGCCGCACATCCCAGTCTTCATACCATGGAAATACTTAGCGAGCCTGATATCACATTTTCTTATGATTCGGAGACATTTGAAGAGACGCCTTTGATGGAGGAACGCAGCTTCCGTGCGTCGTGCGAGGCTGCCATGGAACACTTCGGCGATCAGATCTTCAGTCACATGTCGCAGTGTGGTACAGTCCCGAGACTCCTCCTAGTTGAATCCTTTGACACTGATGATTTTGAAGAGGGTATGCCGATGGAAGATCGTTATTTCTGGCCTTGGTATATCCACACGCGCGGGAATGTTCGAGATAGTTCGGGCAGCAATCTAGTAGGTGTAGCGCGCGTTGAGATGGAGAAGATATCGAGGAACTACCCTGGCGACTTCATCCTCAGGCGCTTTTCTAGCTAATGTCTATCGTGGGGTTAAAACTGTATTGTATCTCGTAGTATGCAAATCATGAGGGTAACGCATGCTTCAGCGTGTACCACATCGGAGTAAAACCTAGTATGCGCTCTATCGTATGCTGGGTGAAGGACTCTGTTCACCTCCACAAGTCTTGGCAGCAAGCTAACACTGCAAGAGCTGCTCGTTCTTCCTGCCTTTCTCCCGACACACCTTTCTTACTTCTCATCGAGGCTGCTACTACCTCAACTGCTTCTGCATCTGCCCCCGACAACCTCCACATTCAGCCACGACGCACAGAAACCTTACTGATTTACAGCTCGAATTGGTCGGCAACGTTTTTGCCTTGGTACGTTGCTTTTCGAAAAGGATTCTGGATATCAGAGAAGTGCTAACAAGAACATGCAGGTGCGACAGAAGACCGACCAAGGCGTCGTGAGCCTCCTCGACAACCGTGCATGTCGTACGGCAGATATCAGAACCACACAAATACGTTACAGCGAGCTACACTCTTTTTTCTGCTAAGCCGGAACATTAGCTACCAGATGATCAGCCAGTTGTATAGCCGCAGTTGCATCGTATAATAAAGTGTACAATTTCCCTATTGAATACCATCTTCAAGACCACTGAGAAATTGAACTTCCGATCAACATCCAGCGACCTGGAACAACTCCGGTAAAGACTGCACGGGTCGATGCAGTCGAAGGGCGGCACGAGGTCCTCCTTCATCCCTACGATCTCCCTGGGCGCGAATGTTGAATGACAAAGGCGAACCGGGGGCGGAGGCTCGTTCTATGAGGTACTCGAAGACTGCATGCTCATTGGGGTCGGTCAAAACTCCCGATGTCGCGCTGTGTTGTGTTGAGAACAGCTGGATCCCCGGATGAAGTGTGTGGACAGTCTTGGTTTGCACAGTCCCTTTACCCCTTCATACTAACGCGATATATCTAGTGAACGTAAGTGTCACCTAGCCCATCTGTCGCCGCCTGTACGTCATCTTCGCCCTCTTCATCGCTATACACCTCGAGCGCCGCTTGAAATGCCTCTCGGTCCCAGTCCCGTCCTTGCCCGTCTCCCGGCCACCCGGCTCTTCTCATTTTGCGCACAAGCGACTTGAACTCGTTGTCCGCGTCATCAAGCTCCCAGTACATCGGTACCGCCTCGATGATATCCGTCTGTAGACCGATCCAGCGCAGCTCGCGGAATCGTTGTTTGCAGAGTGCAAAAAAATCGCGTGGGCAATATACGTTGAAGCCCTGCCGCCAACGCTCGTTCTCGTCCTCAGCGTAGCGCTCTTGCACCACTGCGTTGAGCTCTGGCGCTGGCTCATCGTGCTGGCCGTTAGGATCCCCCCAGTAGACGTACCCATCAGCCGTGTTGATGACGAGATTGTAGCCATTACGCCCGTTGCTGTTACCAAAGGAGATACATGACGGCGGTAAGGGATCGCCTATAGGCTCAACGTGGTATTCGAGTTCCCCGTCGCGGATCCGTTTCTGCATCGCATCGCTGCGGTAATCCTGGATCCGTGTGTTCTTCATGATGACGTGCTTGCCGTAGGCTTTGTCTGGCTCAACGAAGTCTGCAAAAGGCATGTGGCGAAGGAGGTCGATGACTGCATCAGTCTTGTTCAGGTTGGCCATGGTGGATTTTGTGATGGATGGCCAGCCATGCTTGGGTGCTGGAGCGACGACAGAATTATCCCAGAACACTCGATTGCAAAACTCGTAGTAATCTGTCAAGAGTGTGATGAATCCTGCTTGATCAAAGGACATGGTAGCACGTCAACCTTGGAACCTAAGAAAAGGCTGAACACACTGGAGCCTACGTTGATGTTAGGCTACCTGTTTTGCAAGTTTTTAATCGAACGTAGTCTGCGAACTAGTTTAGTTTTTTTCTAGTATGAGGTAGTACGAGGAAGTAGAAAAGAACACTATTCCAACATGGTGGGGTGTGGGCAGGGTGGCTTACCTATGCTGACGGTTAAATAGGGCCTTCCAACGTCATCACGCGCCGACACCGACGTACCCTGTTTCCGAGCAATCTTCCAGAAAACGATGCGTCCGACGAACCTCCATCCTCCCAAAGCGCAATATATGTGTACGCGCATTTCCATTCAGCAGATGCGACGAGGATAGTGCAAGTGCACGTTCGAAACGGATTTGTCGGATGCCTGGCGCTCTTGAACCAGACCCTCGCCTCGGCGACACCATGATGCAGCTCAGAGCGGAAGAAGCAACGAGCTTCTAGGGTTACGATTGGACCAGGCCTTGAGATCGACTACATGAACGCTGTGCGTTGATATCCCCTGGGAGAGGCTCGCCCGCTACTACGAGAACTTGGGCTCGAGGAAGAGATTGAAGTATGAGTCGACTTGTCCAGCCCGTACCACAGCATTTGCAATGTATGGCTGGATCGTGGAGTATGCAATAAGCCCATGCCACGCGATCGACTGCACTCGTAGATGAGATTCATTCTCATGTCCATAAAGTCTTCGGGTTCTGAGTTGGACTGGAGACCCTCGAAGTATCGCATTGCGGCCTCACTCATATCTTCTTCGGCCTCGCTATCTTCTTCTGTCGGGATTGCATCCTCTTCCTCTTTTCCGGTCGCGCTCTCTTCGCTTTTGCCGGCCTCGGTGTTTCTGACGGTCGCTGCAGTAGTCGAAACTTCATCGCTGAGTCCAACTTCTGGTTCTTTCTTTTCGTAGAAGGCGAAGTTATCTTCTGGTTCACAGCCGACAAGCAGAGCGTAAGAACTGTCGTCTTTGTGGGCGTCGTCGTATGGAGGAGGTCCAAATCGCATACGCTTGAAGAACTCTAGAGAACGCAGCCGCTTCGCTTGTTGTCATTTCAGCGCCATGCTACTGACATGGATATAGTGAAGTAACGAGTGAGGCTTGAGAGAAGATGAGGTACCAGCAAAGGTGAGGTATGCGGTTGGAAGGTGCGACGGGGCCGCTGCTCGCGAATATTGTCCTCACAGCATGTTAGGGGATGCACGACAAGGCACGACAAGAACCACTGTACAGATACTGAGTACAGACGCGAAAGTTACTGACACTCGGTTGATGATGACAACTTTGCTTATCCAGTGTCTGGCGCACAAAGGCACTGCGCCGACGGTACTGAGGATGTGGATACACAACAGAGAGGACGCAGTAGATACCTCCAGGCTGCAGCATAAGATTGGACTAAGGCATGGCTGAGTAACAATACGCTCCTTCCTGTGCCCACCGGCCATGATGGACCCTTATCGCGTCCACAAGTCTTGGCGGTGCAGGAGCAAACACCGCACGAGCCACGTGCTCTCACCTCGATTGATCTCACTCCACTCGCTAGTCACCTACTTGTTTTGATCACGACTGCCCAACCAACCGACTGAAACTCGCGGCCTTCCGAACGCAACATGGCGTATGCGACCTTCGCCGACTTGCCGGCCGAAATGGTCGGCAATGTGCTTGCGTTTGTGAGTAATAATAAATTTTACATCTATGAAAAGCTCTAACAGCCCAAACAGATTCGATCAAAGCCTGACCAGAGTAGCGTCTGTCTTGTCAGCCGCGCATGCAGAGACCTCATGGCACCCATGATGTGGGAACTATTCGAGGCGGACTTCCGCAATGCCTCTGTCCAGTCTCTAGCAACTCTCCTGCATCCGCAGTCTGGAATCACGAGCCGTGTCCGCGAGTTGGACATCCTCGAATCTACGCTCTCAGTTGAGGGAGCGGATCGAGTCATATTATTCATCGCAGCAATCCCACGAGATAGACTCCGTCGCTTCGAAAGCACTTATAAGATCTCAGCCCTCATGTTCCAAGTACTTCTACAGTCTCAACGCAAGATCGAAGATATAAACGCGTGGTGCCCCTTTACTTGTCCTGGCCAGTTGGATCTTGTCGAACTCGAGTCCGAAGATCATCACACATGGATGGGCCCGCTACTGCCTGAGGTCTCCAAGATCGTGTTGAACATCAACCCACATGAAACGCAAGGGGAGCGCATCTTCCACAGCTTAAAGTCCGTTTCTCAATGCTGTCCAAGGATAACGGACCTCGCGCTGAATACTGAATCGCTTGACACTCGTACTGACGTATCCGTATGCGCGATACTGTCTCATACCAAAGATTATCAACTATTCCCGAACCTTACAATATTACGACTTTACAATGTAAGGGTTGCGACAACCGCAGATCAAGCGATTGACGGGAATCTACATCTATCCAATCTGAAGGTATTGCAGTTGGAAGGATGCATCGACCAGATCTCCTTTCTGAAAGGTGTCTCATCGTTTTACACCAGTAATGTCGGCCAATTGGAAGAGCTCATTCTCATTCTTCCCATTGAACTCACAGAGTCAGAGAACACTGTACAAGCCATAGAGTTGCTACTCAAAACATGTCCGAAGCTCTCTGACCTCCAGCTAGACTTATCTGTGCACAGATTGGTTGCCAAAGATTATGTTATGGCCCACCATAAAACACTAGAGTCGCTCATGCTGGGAACTGGAGATTCTGAAAGTAGCAGATGTTACTCTGCCGCAGACATAAACTCTATGCTGAACGGATGCACCAAACTGGAACAATTGGCAATAGACATGCCACCGCTGGATTTGGGTTCTCTCTCGAAGCCTGTGATTCGGTTCAGTTCTAATGAAGAATACGGGAATGTGCTGGTAAGACCCAGTCTCTATCATATACCTCGTAGTCTCTAACAAACCCTCAGGCCGCAGTCTCTGCACTGCCCGCATTACAAGTCTTCCGAATCCTAAATCGCCCCGCCTTTGACGTCGAAGAACCCTTGTCAGAGTTGTCAGGCAATCAGGCCGCGCTTGTCTGTCGGGCCGCCATGCAAGACTTTGCCAACCACATTCTCCGCTTTGTGGTTGACAGGGGATCTAATCTACAGGTTCTTAGCATCAAGCCTAGTTTGGAGCCAGATCCAGCGGTATATGGCACGCTGGCGAGGGATTCGAATGGACATCGATGGCCTGAGTACAATTATATTCGGGGTCACACCTCCGATATCACAGGTTCAACTGCTGTGGTAGCGCATCCCTCGAAGAACGTGGTATTGGATTTCTCTGATCTTGCAGGGTTCATGCAATACATCTAAGAAGACCCATCGCGATGTGGGAACGGGAGTGAGAGAAGAAGGAAATACTGGAAATGGAATCGTCTTCCTTATAGAACGATGCAGATTTGAGTGAGCTCATAGTGGTCTGACGTGAGAAGTATCGTCAGTATAAACAACTGAGTTGGCTCAATCGTAAGGCAATGTCACTATGACCATAGTACTCAAGTATTCGTGAGCCAAATCACCTCCACTCCTCACACCCCAAACCCATCGAGCGGCGACTCCGTACTCTCAATCACTGCTGGATACACAACACCCCCCTGCTTCCTAACCTGATCCATTACCCGCATCACCACCTCCGTCTCCTCCAAACCCATCACCTCACTCTCCAGCTTCCCATCGCGGATACACCTCGCACACTCATCCGCCTCCCAGAACATACCATGCCCGCCCCCCGGTATCTCCATGAACTTATCAACAACCTGATACTCAAAGTCCGCCAACTTCCCTCGTTTCTCATTCGCAGCAGGCGTCAACGTATACGTGCGCGGCTTCGGCGCGTAATCCACCGTCAAGTCGCCAAGTGTACCTTGAATCCTTACTGCGTCGCCGCCGGGGTTGGGGTGGTCCGCGTTGGGTGTAGTGGCGACGATGATACTCGTGCTTGCTACGCCGTGAGCACCCGTGGTAGGGAAGTGCAACAGCACAGTCGTCGTCTCATCAACGCCCGTCGCACACTTACTAACCGCCGAACTCACAACCGGTTCTTCCCTCTTCCCCTCCGGTTGCACATGGTACAACGCCATGAACAACCACGTTAGGCTATAAATCCCCAGATCCAACAACGCGCCGCCCGCAAGATCGGGGTTAACCATCCTATGCTGCGTGCCGAATTCCTTTTGCACATCATTCCAGAAACTGAAGTCGGCGAATACGCGCTTTATATCGCCCAACTTCCCTTCTTTAACAATGGCGCAGACTTCCCGCGAGAGGGGGAAGAAACGCGTCCACACGGCTTCCATCATGAACCTCCCCTTTTCTCTCGCTAATTTCCTTAGTTCCTGGCATTGCGCTGCGTTGACGGTGATGGGTTTCTCGACCAGAACATGTTTTCCGGCGCTGAGACAGAGGCGGGCGTGGTGGTAGTGGTGGGAATGGGGGGTGGCGATGTAGATGATGTCGACATTGGGATCGGAGACGAGTTCGGTGTAGGAGCCGTAGGCGCGTGCTGTGGGGGGTGCGCCAACAGATGTAAGAAATTCCTTGGCACGGGTTGCCGACGTGGAAGATGCTGCTGCTGCGACGACATGACGGATATCGGAGGCATCGCGGGTTTGGGGATCGATGAGGAGGTCTTTTGTGAAGGCTGGAGTGGTGTTAGGATGGGTAGGTTAAGGAAGATGAGGGTGTTGTACTTGTGGCTATACCTCCCGTCGCTACGATCAATTAGCCTTCTCTCATCGTGTGTAATCAGGCTTGGTTGTGCGTACCCAAGATACCCCACCTTAGCGTGAACGGCTCCGAACTCATGTTTGCGAAGTTGTGTTATCCCGGTCTCGAGACAAAAGAGGGAGACAGAGATGAGATGGTGAATACTTCCTTTATACCTCCATCGCTATAAACACAGCCCGATGCTACATGTCTCATGCGCCCTAGGGCACATTCATGCTGCAGGTACATATGTAACGTGCAATAGTAGGGCGTTGACAACCTCTCGATTAGAGTACCCCGCAGCAGGCGATTGCATGCCAGAGGGCCTGATGACGCGATAAGCGGAGAGACGGGATGCTATCCGCCTTGTCTTTCGATAGCATCGCTAAATCAGACGATGTGAGAGATCTTTTTGGTTATTTTATAGTCCGTGAAAATTCCTATTCCTTCACATACGACCATAGGACAATGAGAATTAGGCTTCCCGTCCGCTCAGCCATATACAAGCATTGTACCGGCGGATTAGTAGTTAGGTGGGTGACCACTAGCGAATCCCCGCTGTTGTATGTTTTTGCTAAAAAGTCCATCTTTTTTGCATCGACAAGTTGTGGGCGCATACTTGTCGAATTGCTGTACACTATGAGCATGACATTCCAATTCAATACTAGTGATGCGTGGAATTCCGGGTATATACATTTTGAAGCCTCGTGGTCCCTCCACGTACCGTGATAACAATGCTCCAGCAAGTGTTTATAGCTCAATGTAATCCTCCACCGTCCTCGGTAGTGTCGACTTCCTTTTACGGGTCGCGACTTGACCCGATATACGGCTGCGACTGCGACCGCAACCATTTCCGATATGTACCAGTTTGAGGTGTGCCCTAGACCTTGCGCATGGCAAGCTTCTTGCGTGCCTGGATCGTGTAGGCGTAAAGGGCGTCCTTGAATGCGAAGAGGAAGGCGGCGGTGATGACACTCTGGGTGACCTTGGGTCCGATACCTAGCATTGGTTAGCACATCGTTTCTCCTCCTCAGAATCGTTCTCCACATACCTCCATACAGGCCAGTGTATCCCTCCTCCCTGATGATGCGCCTGAAGGTGGTCAACATATCCTCCCTCGGTCCATCCCTGCCCGCAACGTGCATCCTGCTCTTGACAGTGATGTACGGGTAGGTGATGCTGGTAGCCAACAGCTTGCCCAGCGCACCAAGGTAGAAGGCATCCTTGGGCGTGACCCTCCTCCGCTTCTCCAGCATCTGCTTCAGCTGCTCGAACACAGTGTATTGCAGAATGGGGTTGATGACCAAGACCAACGCCGGCATGACGCCAGCGAACAGGCGCGCGGGGCCCTCATCACGAACGAGGGCGAAGAGCGTGCCAAGCGTCGATGGCGCCTTCTGTGCGGGTGTAGGTGCGCCCGGGAGCGACTCGTCGGAGGCTTCGGATTTGCGCGTCGTCATGCGCGTGTTGACGACCCAGATGGGGTTGGTCATGAGGACGGTTGCGCTGCCGGCGAGGGCGCCTGCCATCATCGACTCGACCGTGGTGAGCTTGGAGGAGGCGCGACCGGCTTTGAGCGCAGCCTTCTCGAAGAAGGAGCGGGTCCATTCGTACCCTGATTCCGTTAGTCTAATATATTGCTTAGACGTGTATTGTCGTACAGTAGTAGTAGACGAAGTTTGTGACGCTGATGCCGAAGAGGGCAGAGTCGAGACCGGCGTAGAGGCCGGCAACACCCTCGCGCTTGATGATGCGGCGCGCGGCATTGAGCGTCGACGATTGCGCCCGCTTGGATTCGACCTGGGCGCGGGTAGAGAGGGTGATGAGCGGGTAGCTGGGGGTTGTTAGCAGCCCGCATCGCTTTGTCGCAATGGCGCATACGTCAGGGCCATGGACAGCAGTCCTCCACCAGCGCCAGCCAGCGCATGCGCAACATTGTCGCTCTGCTGAGCCGCCGTGCTCTGGGGCACCGAGGAAGTCGACTCGATGAGCTTCTCCTGCGCCTTTTCTTGTGTTTGAGACATGGTCGAGTGTAGAATGTAGCCGCGCGGGAGCTGAAGAGGGGAAGCGGGCGGTTGTTGCGACGGGAGGAAGGAGCAGCCGGTAAGCCGATGGGATTGGGAAGGTGTGGATAAACAGTGAAGGAGAGGGTATCAAAAGGGAAGCAGCTTCAAGTCTCGTCGGATGGTCTTCGTCTCCGCATTTGAGCTGCGGCTCCGGCTGGCTTGTGAACGTCACCAAGCATTTCCGGGGTAAGACGTACAACCGAGGCAACAACTTCCCCCGATCTAGTCGCATGCGGTAATCCTCTCCAAACTACCAACATGTGCAATCTCCTCGTCTCATGCACTGCACAACAAACATGTAATCATCAGTCTTGATTGGTCGTTGCTACTGGATTATTCTGCAACTACCTCTCGTATATCCTCCTCTCTGCTACCCGAAACGGTACATAGAGCACCGCTGCCAGCACAACTGCTACCTCCAACCCGATGTCGCCCGTAGTCTCCGCGATGGGTCCTGTCCACCAAATTTGTCCCATACATGGGATGATGAGGCCAAAGGAGAGCAGGAACGCGCCAATTGCCGCGAAACCGGGTGGCAGCTTGCTCGGCTCGTCCCACGCCTCTTCATCCTCGGTATAAGCCATGAAGCTGCTGCGCCGGAACAGCACGTGTTCGGTGATGGCGATGCCAATGAAGGCCGCACTCCAGTACCCGATGACGCCGATGAAGTTCTCGAGGTTGAGGAAGAAGCTACTGGATGCCTCGACAGCAACGCCAATCACGATTCCAGTAATGACGATGCTGAAGAAGATGCGCGGGATGCGGAAGAGCCAGGGAAGGAGCATCTGCAGGTTTAGTGTTACGCTGTACATTGTTGCCGACAGGTTACCCAACATGCTAAAGGCAAGCACGACTGTGACGAAGCGACCGAACCCGCCAGCTGGCTGGAGCATGGCTGCGAGGACACCGCTCGCTGCGTTGACGTCGTACCCAGCCTGCCATGAGGCAATGTTTGGCGTCGCGCCTCCCATCGCTGCACCGAGCGTCATCAGCAGGATCGTAGGCAGCGCAAGACCGGTGTAGGTGTAGAGCGCGATCCGGAAGGGAGGGGCCTTTGGATGCATGTACGTCGAGAAGTCGCTCGCAAGTGCAGCCCATGGAAGCATGAAGCTCGCCACGAGACCGCCAAACGAGAGGACCTGCGACGCTGTAGCAGCAGGTGCTGGGACTTGCTGGCTGAGACTGCTATCCCCGCATCCTGCCGCAATGATGAGTGCGGCCAATGCTGGAATCCATGCCCAGGCCTCGTAGTGATGCAATACACCAAAGCCGCAGAAGGAGATGACCAGCGACAATATAGCGATGATGACGATACCCACCGTGGCGTTGATGGTTGCTCCGTCCTGCACCGCCGACAGTGCCATACCGCCAATGACACTATCGACTACGCAGAAGCCCGTCAGCGTTGCAAGGTTGAGCAATATCAACAGAGAAACAAAGTATTTCCCGAAGGAAAACCTCGCCTGGACCAGCTGTCGCATACCCGTCTTCGGCCCCCACGTACACATGTACGCCACCGGCACCGTCGACACGAGGGTAAAGAAAAGAATAACCAGCGCCGCGTCCCTCAGACTAAGAGCAAAAGACATTGTGCCCACCATGCCAAAAGTCACACTGCATACCCGTTAGCCATGATGCAAGGCCACCTCTCCTCAATTGACCACTTACGGCAACGGATTACAACTCATGCAAAACCAAAGCGTGAAGATCTTTGAATACTGCGTCTCTGTCCTATCCTCATACGGCACAGGCGTACACCCTCTGAGCTCAACATCACCTTTCTTTTCCAGAAAACTCAGCACCCCTCTCCACCCTCCAACTCTTTCGTGCTTGCCCACCGTGACATCGCCATGTTGCTGCTCCACTCCCGCGACTTCCCCAACCGAGAGATTGGGCCGCTTGATGTCTTCCTGTTCCCGCGAAGGAGCACCACTCCCCACCCTGCTACTGCCTACACCTCCATTCGGGGCGTCTGCCATCTCTTTTCCCGGACCCGTTGGTCTCTTGGCTCGCTGCAACCGTTTTCGCCGCTCCACCCCGAGATATTGCGCGTGTAAAGTTTGTCAGTCGTGCGTAAAGGACCCGAGAAGATGGTACAGACGCCGTTGACGACCCACTCGCTATGTCCGTCTACGGCTTGCAATGCGAGGTAATAGTGTGAAACTGCTCAGTCGTGTGATGCGATAAGGCCCCGGCGCGACTATATACCTGAATCATTTGCTCCACCCAGTACAACGTCGTTATGACTCTTTGCTTACCCCATAGTGGCGGGCTGGTGACTATCGCGAACAGAGATTTTTTGCAAACACGACATTTCTGGTTCGCGCATCCTGTGCCCGGCAAGGCTAGACGCGCACCCGTTCGGCACCGAGCGCTGCAAAATCGTTTCCATGCACGAATGCACGCATCCCACAACAAAGGGTCCATGACGATCTGGCCCACCTCGCGCGCTGCTAAGCCGACAACCGCATGATAGCCGTATAACAACCGCGCCTTGACTGTGTGCAGCCGTAGCTTCAGGATGCTACTCCGACCATGACGGAGGTGGATGTGCGATGCGTATGCCGTGGTGTGCATGAGGTCTTGTCGGCTGCATGCTTGCTCGCTGCGCAATGGCCTGATTATAGACGCGCTTGCCGACTTCTCGCCGGTCTGCCGGACCTTCCCCACGGTCTTGACCGAGATGGGCGACACTCGTCCAACCACACTGCGTGCGGTGCTTGATACTCCGACGAGGGCGTGTAGCGTCCTCGGGGAGAGTGATGTTAGTTATCATGGGCGTTGAGCGCTGCGGCGTCGCCTTGCATGAGGCTGTCCCTCTTCGCTCATCTCCTTCTGCTGCGCTGATATTTGGAATCTGGTTATGGCTGCCGACGAAGAGAATAAGCGTGAACCCATACCGGTCGACGAGGCTGCTGTTGCACCTGAGCTGCCGGTAGAAGGTGAAGTCGAAGTCCCATATAGCATATACACCAGCAAAGAGAAATGGCTCATCGTAGCCATGGTTGCGTTGGCGGGATTTTATAGGTACACTCTTTCCTTTCATCTCATCTCAAGATACACACATAGAACAATTACTGACACCACCACAGCCCCCTCCCCGCGAACATCTACTTCCCAGCCATCCCAACCCTCGCCCGCGCCTTCAACCAAACATCCGAAGCCATCAACCAAACCGTCACCGTGTACCTAGTCTTCCAAGGAATCAGCCCTATGCTCTGGGGCCCCATCAGTGACCGCTACGGCCGCCGCCTCGTCTACCTGGTATGTCTGGGCATCCTCGTCGCCTCCTCCATCGGCCTAGCCCTCTGTCCAACCAGCCACTTCTGGCTGCTCCTCTTCCTGCGCTGCTTCCAGTCCGGAGGTAGCGCCAGCACCATCGCCCTTGGCGCAGGCGTCATAGGCGACATATCCACGAGCCGCGAAAGAGGCGGCTACTTTGGCATGTTCAACCTCGGTCCTATGCTCGCTCCGTGTATCGCACCTGCAATCGGAGGCGCACTTTCGCAGGGTCTAGGTTGGCGATCTATCTTCTGGTCCATCGTCATCATGGTAGCGGTTTGCCTGCTGTGCATTGCGCTTTTCCTGCCCGAGACCCTGAGGAGCATTGCGGGTAATGGCAGTATCCCTGTGCCCCGCCTTCAACGCGCTATCCTCCCTATCGTGGGCCAAAAAGCAACGAAAGAAGCTTTCGACCCGGATTCCCGCGCTAAGGCTAAACACTCTGTTAATCCGTTTGTGCTCTTTACGTACCCTGATGTCATCGTCTTGCTCACTTTTACCGGGCTGGTCTACGCGGTCAATTACACAATCACCGCCACCATTTCTTCGGCTTTCGCAAAGATATACCCGGAGCTGTCGGAGACGGTACTAGGGCTATGCTACCTTCCCGTTGGTGCAGGCATGATTCTGGGTTCTACGATGACGGGCAAGATGTTGGATTGGGAGTACAGACGTATCAAAGAGCGGTGTGGTGATAACTTCACCATTGAACACGCCCGGTTACGCATAATGCCCTTTTACCTCTCCCTCTTCATCGTTTGCGTCATTGCTTGGGGTTGGACGATCCAGGCCAAGGCTCACATCGCTGTTCCGCTCATTCTTGGCGTTATGCTGGGCTGGACGTCCATCGGTATCCTCAACACTACCATGACACTCAACATCGATATTCTGCAGTCCCGCAGCTCAGGCGCGACGGCGTGCACGAATTTGGTGCGCTGCTCGCTGGCTGCTATCTTGGTGTCTATCATCGATCGCATGGCGAGTGCGTGGGGCGATGGTTGGACGTATACGTTTTGGGGTGGCATATGTTGTTTGTTGATGCCGCTCATGTTGCTGGAGATCAAGATGGGGCCTGTGTGGCGGAGGAGGCGCGAAGCCAAGGAATTGGAGGACGAGAAGGCGTGATCTGGTTGTTGGAGAGGAATTGAAAGAGATGGAGCAACGAGTTTTTGGTTGGAGAAAAGCATTATACCCTTTTGTTGAAAGTTAGCATAGCGTTGGATAGTATCGCTGAGAATCGCATTTTATTGCAGATTTTATCACGTGTTTCCGTTGCCAGTGATCAGGGTGAGTAGAGTGTCTTTTAGTGCTGTGCAAGAAGGGATTAGCTACACTACCAAGACCTCACTCCACCATTTTCAAGCTCTGTCCTCTTTCCTCATATCACCATACCACTCCTTTCGATCAAATCCATAAGATCCTCACACCTCTCATCTCCCCACCATAACAATCCCACCACGCCATCCTAACCCCCCCTCGTAGGCACAGGTTCCTCCGAAGCCGCCGGCTCCTTCGAAACACTATCCTCCACAGCAGCGACACGACCGAACAATTTGTTGCAGTAGTGACCAGAACGGCAAGCAGGTCCACAAGTACCCGGTGGGCAGCCGTAATCCGCAGCCGTCATCTTACGCTCAAGGGAAGCAGAAACCTCCTCAGGCACGCGACGTGCGTTGACAGCGTTGCTATCGGTGACGGTGACGACGTAGACTGGGTTTGTTGGCTCAGGTTCTTGATGAGCTGTGGTAGGGAGGGTGTTGGGGACCGTGATAACGTAGACTGGATCATTCGGTTCAGCCTCTTGACTTGGATTGACAGCGTCGGTGTTGGTGACGGTGACGACGTAGACTGGATCAGTCGGTTCGGCGGTGGTAGCAATAGTATCGGTGACTGTGACGACGTAGACTGGGTCTGTCATTTCAGATTCTTGACGAGCGGTTACACGCTTGACATGGGTAACCGTGACAACGTAGACTGGCTCACCACCCGCTTCAACCTCTTGACGAGCGTAAACATCCTTCGTAGCCGTCACCGTCGGGGTGCTGTGAACACGACTTGCGAAAGGGCAGTCAGGCCCAACCCAACCCGGAGGACAAGACTTCGTCGGTTTAGGCGGTGAGACGACAACGCTGCAGTCACTTCCCACATGGCCCGGAGAACATGTCGATGTCGGTACCGCCTGCCTGGCAACAAGACGCTGAGACCGACCTCCGAGGTCTTCAGACGCAAGTCTAGGCGCACGAGTAGCCTTCGCTTGCCTCGCGACCCACCGCTGCGACCGTCCACCGCCGTAGTCCGGGGGGAAGATAGTGCTAGTCGCCATGGGCCAGCAAAAGTGTATATCGGGATTATCATCCCGCGTAAACGCAGAGGAGTGGCAACCACACTCATACGAAGTAGAACAAGTAGGCTTAGACTTATCCGGTCCGCATTGGATATGCGTAGAGATCGCCGTCGCATAGGTCTTGGAGTCCCAAGAAGTGATTTCAGTGCAAGTCGCAGTAGTGGGCAGGGCCTGGCGACGCTGAGCAGTGACACTGACACGAGTCGGGCGGACAGAGTCCGAGAAACCTTCAGAGGGCCTAGGAACTTCAGAGTCCCCGGAGGTCTTGGTCTTGGAGGGCTTGGGCGGCTTGTACGTCTTGATGGACTTGGAGGTGTGGACGCTGGCTCGGGTCTGGGATTCGACTACGGTGAGCTGGCGGCGGTGCGCGGTGATGGTGCGGGTGAGCTCAGTGGAGTCGGCGGTCTCCTTGGAGGTGTAGGCGTTGGAGCGGGCTGGTGGAGTGCGTACTGTGGTGCAGTACTTGGGGTTGTTGCATGGCCTTGTTGTCAAGGTTGTCTCGCTGCCTTGGCTCATGGCGAAGCCGATGAAGCCTAGGGCGGTGAGGCAGAGAGTGGTGAACTTCATTTTGGCTGTCTTCGAGTTAGTATCGAGGCAGTGAGATAACTAGGAACTTTATGGGCTACCTGAAGTTGATGATGTTGGAGAAAGAGAAGGGAGGTGGGTAGAAAGTGGAGGGTAGAAAGAGAGGAGCAGTAAAAGAGGTTTATATACACCGCTATTGCAATACAGACATGATGTTTCTATGGAGACACTGCCCGGTCGGCACTCACCTCCGTTTGTCAAGATTTTGTTTGCGGTAATACTGCGGTAAGAGACGCGAGTGGTCCGCAGATGCAATGGGGAGGAGACGTCGGAGTTCGGGGTGAACCGTTTGCTGAGAGTCTAGTGAGTAATCGAGCACGAAACACATGCAACCTAATAATATGCCCAAGTTACCGTGAGTGTACTCATCTCACCGCGTATGATGACAAGACAATGAGTATTAAATAGATTAACAACAGGGTAAATAGATTGGACGGTAGGAGAATGTCTGACCATATTCGTGATAATAATAATGCAATATTACTCAGACTCCGAAGTACGCAATTCTACCTGTATACCCGTATAATAAATATGCCCCGTCTATATCAAAAGACCCTGTGTAAAGTTCTCCAATGCAGCCCGATACTGCTGACTATACTCTATGATAATCTGCTGCTGGTACCAGCTATGTCGCGCATTGTGGTCAGCCACAAGGTTATGCGCAAGCTCGTGACAGTACGTGCAGAACCAACTGTCCAGAGCTGTGAGCTTCCCTTCCTTAGTCTGGCATCCGTCGCTATGCAGGGCAATGAACCAAGCAAGGTTAAAGAACAGACTACCGTTCATGTTGAACGCCACCGTGTTAGACTTCTTGTCGAGGAAGATGTTTACCGCCGCAGGGTTGACGCTGAAGATTGATGTGAGGCCAAAGATGAGCGGTAGGAATTTTTGGAGGTGAGATTGCAGGTCGGTGAGCGGTGCAGTCTCGTCGCGGCCATAGTAGATGTCGACGTGACGGCCAGAGAAAGGCACCGAAAACGCTTTGTGCAGGTTTTCCCATTGTTCGCCGGTACAGTAACCTCCACGGTCGAGTTCCGTCGGGTCCTGGTGATGTTTGGTGTTGATGTTCTCCATACCAGTTGGCCGACATTCCTTGATAGCATTCTGAATGTTCGATTTCGTAGCTTGGATGTCGCGACTGATCTGAGGGCCGTCTGTACCCTTGGAGGAGGAGGAAGGTGCGCTAGGCGCGTTCTTGAAACCGAGCTTCTTCGCCCAGTTGTTGATGAGACCCTGCTCCTCTGGTTGACGGCCGTGATTGGCGATCTCCATGCCACCCTCTGGACTACCAAATGCACCGGGCATATGCTTGCCTTTCTCGGGGGTCTCGGGTGGAATGTTCTCTCGGTCCTCTGACTTTACATGACCAGACTTGGCTTGTTCGGCAACTCGCTGCTGTTCCTCTTCTTCGCGCTCTTGCTCGGCTTGCTTGGCGATACGCGCTTCGTGCTCTTTTTTTCGTAGGATACGCTCAACATTGATACCCTTTTGCTGGAGTCGGCGTAGAGGCTCAGTCAAGATGCGCTCTAGCGCGATCGCGTCGTTGCGCTTCGGCCGCGATACGAGTAGCCTTACCAGTTCGCTTGACACCTCGTAAAGATCGTATTTCGGCGTGATACTGAGCACGTACCCCGTACCACGCACCTTGATGATAACAGCCGATTTACGTGAGGATGTTGCGACATTGCGTTCGGCCAGTGAGTAACGAATAGAAATATCGGACACACATTGCACCGTCAAATTAGAACCCAGCCACTTGGCGTCATGTCTGATAGCTTTTGACGAAGCATCGCGTTCATACTCGTGAAGGAAGAGACGCACACGCTCCAGGATATCCCGTCGAAGATCTTGGGCAGGTGTCTGGTCGCGTGCTACTGTGCCGATGCGTTGATCAGTCTTGACCAGCTCCGAGACTTTCTGGACACCAAATCGAGCGTAGAACTCCTCGAGAAGCTCTTCCTGTGGGGCTGCGATGATGAAGTCGCGGAACCGGGTCATATAGTTGACGTTATCGATAATCACGATCTCACCAGCTTTATTGAGCGACCACTCGCGATGGACGTTGTCCTCATCAAGATCATCAATGTCGTCGTCGCCTGCATCAGCGACGTTCTTACTATCCTCTTTGATATCGCGGTAGCCAAGCAGCAACCTCGAGGCTACCAGTGCTTTGACCAGATCCTTGTCCTTCCAAAGATTTGTCGCATGCTCGGCCAGCTTTCTCAGCAGATCGAGATATTTCTCTTGTCCAATGGTGTTGAGGAAGCGGGCAGGGTTCTTGGCGAGGAGGTACGCCAGATCATGAGTAGTCGGCTCATGCTTTGCGCCAACCTTGAGAAGGAAGACTGTGGCTTCCGCGCCATAGTGAACGTAATCGAGGATGCCACGGTACTCTTGATCACGACCCACGAAAACATGCTCGGGGGGATCGTAGTGATGGATGCGCATCTCGGTCTTGCCAGTTTGATTCTTGGATCTATCTTCGAATCCGCTGCAAGCGGGGTCAAGGTAATACTTCCGAAAGATTGGTACAATGTTGGAAGTCGCGAGGTTCTGTATGAGCCCTTTGTGTTGATCCAACTCGGATCCGCGTGAAGCAAGATAGGCAAACTGCATTTCTGCATCAAGCTTAGTCTTGGGTGGTGTCTTCATCAGGTACTGAACACATGGACCTATGCTTGGATCGCGCTGTACCCCTAGCTTCTCCGCATGACTCCGAAGATCGCTTCTTAGAATGGGAAATCCTAGGCATGCTGCATGCTCATTGGTGTAGCACTGGAACGGACCAACCAACGCCGGGAAAGGAGCCTGTTCAGTCGGCAAAATCGGAAGGGTGAGGGCAGCGAACTTCTGATGCTCGACAGCGTAGTTGTTCTTGTAGTAGTTTGTTAACAGGTAGTCCATCGCACGCATGTACAGCTGGAGATCCTTGGCTTGACCGGCGCGATGGAGTATGTTTGCGACGGTGATGGAATCTGGGCACTGTCGAAGTCCAAGTCGCAGCAGCAACACACCTTCTCGTGTAGTGGGCTTGAATTCGAAAGGCAGCTTAATCTGAGTCAGGCCTAGAGCTACAATAGCCGGGTCGGGGGCATAAAGGTCTGAAGCTTTGAACTGCTCGCCAGCTTTTACTAGAGTACCTTCTCCCGGCAAGAACGCTGTCTGCTGTAGACGACTGAGATCCTTCGCAGGTATTTCATTTATGACCGACGCGAAATAGCGGATAAGGTCAACGTGATTCCAAGTCGGCTTTTCGGATTTCTCTGACTGCTGCGCATCGCGACTGCGCATTCGATCAAACACCATAGGAAGATCGATAGTCTTCCGAACACCGAGCGCCAATAGGAACTTCTCCTTCGAGCCTGCGAACGGTGTTACAGTTGGCAGATCGTCAAACAGCTTAACAGTAGGGAAGTACGACTCCGCCGGTCGCCGCATGCCCATCTTCGTCGGCAAGATCGTGTGTGGGGTCAAGATCTTGACAACCGTCTCCTTGGAATTTCCATCGAGTTGTTCCCAGCACTTGGATGTCAGTGTTAGCACAGAGAGAGCAAGATTCTCATCCTTGGTAAATTCGTCTAGCTGCGGGCGTGTTGTCATGTGTCGAAGCCAGCGAACCATTGACAATTCCACCCAGCCGAAGAGCTGCAGTTGTTTGATCGACATGCCTCTGGTGAAGGAGAAAGGAATAGTGTCTGGCGGAAGAGGTAGGTGTGCACCGATACGCGCTGGGTTAACGAACGTGCTAATGTCGCCCAAAGCGAGTATCCTGCCAGAATTCTTTTCTGGCTCAATGTCGATGTTAGCAACCGTGTTTTCGAACAAGCTACGAGAGCCGGGCACATCAATTTCGCCGCTTTCCAGCTTAGATCCACACCACTTAAGAAACTCGGAAAGTTCATCTTCGCTGAGTGCTCGTGATTCTAATCCTTGGCGGATGTCCTGCATGGTGAGCTCGGTGATAAAACCGCGATTGTGTAGATTGAGCATGAAGTCCACTGCTGCATTCGCGAGTTCTTGTGGGACCATGGGTACTTCTCCCAGGAAACTTAGAGTTTCTGCAGGCATACGCACACGCTTACTGGACATGACGCCCTTGGTCGAAAGGATGTCGATGGATCGTTCCTTCGAACAATTCCAGAACGCCTCGTCGATCTTATCTCCAAGGGATGTGGAAGGGTGCGATGATTTGGCCGTGTATTGTTTGAACACGTAAGCAGTCTTCGTGATCAAGGTCTCGATGGGTTCCTTGCCGAATTGGGTCTGCAAAGCTGCCAATTCTGCTGCGTAGGTGATGCGACAGGCCAGCCCTGCAACACGCAGGAGCTCAATATTCCAGGTGGAGATGTAGCGAGCGTTCATGTCGACATTCTCGCGCTCAACCGTCGGGATAAGAGATGGCGCAGAGATGTGCGCGAGGTAGCCAGTCGTCTGGGCAGTCGGAAATCCGATAAAGATTCGACCAGATTTTGTCGGAAGGACTTCTGCAAAGATCTTGTCGGCAAGCGCAGCTGAACTGCCAGAGCCCGTAGCCAGCGTGGCTGACGGATCTTGGTATGGACAAGTCAAAAGAGCGATTTTGGTCGTCTTCGGAGGTGACTTCTTAGTTGCGCGCTCAATCTCCGCAGCGAAGTTTCGTGAGACTTTAGTGGCTGCCACCACAGTGCATACTTGCAAGAAGATGGTGCCAGTCGAATCGCCTGCTATCTCTTCAATAGTATTGGTCTTCTCAGCCGCGGGTTTGATGTTCTTCGTGGGCGGCGGAGGAGGCGCAGATGCGAATTTTGAGAAGAAACTCCGTAATGAAGTACCTGCGTTGCGAACTTCTTGTTGTACGAGGTCGGCAGCTTTCTTTGGGGGTATCTGAGCAGTAGCAATGACGTTCATCCAGGCCGCATCGATTTGAGAGTGTTGTTGCGTGACATCAGTCACCCGCATCAAGCCGCCTTCGGTCTCAGTCTTCAGTCCGTTAGGCACACGGA